GCCCCCAATAGCCAGCGATGGTGCCAGCTGACTATATCGGGACGTCGGAAACCACAGCCACTCGGTCTTGGATGGGTTGAGCCTGAGCCCGTTTCTCCCCATCCAGATCCGCACGGCCTCCAGGCACTGGGACATCACTTCAAGGGCATCGTTGGGGTGGTCCGGGGTGGAGATGTACAGCTGGGTGTCATCAGCGTACAGATGGTACTTCACCCCGAAACCACGGATGATCTCGCCCAGCGGCTTTACATAAATGTTGAACAGAAGGGGCGAGAGAACCGATCCCTGCGGCACCCCACATATAAGGGGCCTCGGGGTCGATCTCTGCCCCCCTGTCAACACAGACTGCGACCGGTCAGAGAGAAAGGAGGAGAACCACCGTAAAACGGTGCCTCCCACCCCCAACCCTTCCAGCCGGTGCAGCATGATACCATGGTCGATGGTATCAAAAGCCGCTGAGAGGTCTAACAGGACCAGGACAGAGGAACAACCCCTGTCCCGAGCCCTCCAGAGATCATCAACCAACGCGACCAATGCCGTTTCCGTGCTGTACCCAGGCCTGAAGCCCGACTGGAACGGATCTAGATACGACGCTTCATCCAGGTACTGGGGTAGCTGTCGCGCAACCACACTCTCAACAACCTTCGCAACGAAGCAAAGGTTGGAGACTGGACGATAATTAGCCAATACTGCCGGGTCCAGGGAAGGCTTCTTGAGGAGAGGCCTCACCACCGCCTCTTTCAAGGCGGCGGGAAAGACACCCTCACCCAACGAAGCATTTATAATCCCCTGGAGCCAGCCTCGCGTCACCTCCCGGGAAGCCAGCACTAACCAGGAGGGACACGGGTCCAACAAACATGTGGTCGCGTTCAATCTACCCAGAATCCTGTCCACGTCATCTGGGGTCACAGGATCAAACTCATCCCAGATAACAGTCTCAAGACCTGTCTCCGTCACCCTCGTTGGATCTATCCCGTCAGAGTCCAGACCTGCCCGAATCTGAGTGATTTTGTCATACAGATATTGAACAAAATCCTCGGCTCTCCCCTCCAAGGGGTCCTCCCGCGCTTCCTGGTGGAGCAGGGAGCGGGTCACCCTAAACAGGGTGGCCGGGCGATTATCTGATGACGCAATAAGAGCAGTAAAATGAGTACATTTTGCTGCTTTTATCGCCACTAGGTAACTCCTAATATAAGATCTTACCAGTGTTCGGTCAGATTCAGAAAGACTAGCCCTCCAACAGCTCTCTAGGCGTCTTTTCCGGCGCTTCATCTCCCTCAGCTCCTCGGTGAACCAAGGAGCCAGGCGAGATCGGCGCCGGGTCAGAGGCCGCAAAGGCACGACTCGATCCAGGGCTCCAGCAGCCTCCCTATCCCAGGCGGCCACTAGGTCCCCAGATGAGGCGTGAGCCAGAACCTCCGGGATTGGCCCAAGTTCCATCTGGAACCTATCAGGTTCCATCAGGCGCCTGGGGCGGTACCATCTTACCGGTTCCGCCTCCCTGCGGTGGGGTGCTGCGGTTCGAAGGTCAAGGCGAAGGAGCGAGTGATCTGACCATGACAAGGGCTCGATGACTATATCCCCTATCTCGAGATCACTCAACCACTGTCCAGAGACAAAAACCAAGTCCAGTGTGTTTCCCCCAGTGTGCGTAGGGCCATGAATTAGTTGGGTCAGGTCCATGGCCGTCATGGAAGCCATGAACTCCCGAGCCACCTCAGACGCCTCACCCACGGATGGCAGGTTGAAATCCCCCATGACCATAAGTCTGGGGGTATCAACCGCCACCGCGGCAATAACGTTGAGTAGCTCGGGCAGGGCTGCCGCCACGTGGCAGGGAGCCAGGTACGTGATCAGCAAACCCATCTGAACCCCGTGGCCCCACTTCACAAGGAGGGACTCACAACCGGCCGTCTGAGGAACAGTGGTCTCCCTCGGCCTAAGGCCTTCTCTAATAATAACCGCTACTCCCCCACCCCTCCCCTGTGACCTTGGCTGATGGAATGCGTGGAAACCTGGTGGGCACATTTCTACCAGAGGGACCCCTCCCTCTGGGCCCAACCAGGTCTCCGTAATACCCGCCAGGTCCGCTCCCCCCTCGTAAACAAGATCACAGATGAGGGGGGCTTTATTTACTACAGACCTGGCGTTGCACAACATCAGACGAAGGCCCAGGCCCTGAAGGTCTGTACTACCTGGAGAACGGGTGGAGCCTTGGGGGCCGGAGCACTCTACCGCTTGAAGACAGCGGGTGCGTGCTCCCTTAACATGATATGGCCCCCTGCTCCCGCCATATCTACCCCTCCCACACACAGTACCGATGGTGAAAGCATAGTCTGGACCAGCTCGACCCCCTCCGGATCCCCCACCACCCCCGCCGAACGTCCTGGCCAAGCCCGACTCTCCCCCTAGTGGGTTATCCCCCAAACCCACAATCCTAATTCCAATCCCACCCCCCTCCCCCCTCCCAGAACCCCTTAAAAGTTTAAACAAGGACAATTTTAAAAAACCCCGCAGCCCCCTCTTTGCGGCATGCCACCTCTCGGGACTCCAGAGCCCGTCATCGAGGTAGGCCCTCGATAGAATGGAGGGCCAAGCCTGCGAGAGGGGGGAGTCTCGCAGACCAAGAAGCTCCGCTGCTGAGTACATTAATCATAATGGGTAACACGACCATATCCTGAGGGTGTATATAAAGGACCGAGGAGAAGATAAAAGAATGGGGGATCTCAGAGACATATTTGCAGGACCAAGTCCCCTGTCCCCTCACAACAGAGGACATAGTCCAAAGCCAGGACGACCACAGTTCCAAGGGGGAAATAGATCTAACCACCCTCTCACGGTGGTTAGGTCAGCTGGACAACCCCCTCTTGTGGTGGGGTGGCAGCAATGAACCGGTGCATATAGACAGCGTCCAGGGGTCAGGTCCAAAAGTCGCCCTCTCACGGCGTTTTGTCCGGTGGTAAAGACCGATGGTAAGGTCCCCTCGCTGGTAAAGTCCCCTCGCTGGTAAAGTGCATATGTGTGGAAAGCTGGTAAAGTGCATATATGTAGAAAGCGTCCCGGTTCAGCCCCCACTTCCAGTAATTAGTTTACATTTTGTACTTTTTGTGAATGATGAAATAAGTTATTGTATATGAAAGCTTGCAACTCAGTACTTTTTAAAATATAGCTATAAAACCAGGTTTTTCATCAGAAAGTTGGGTTTCTTAATATTAATTTACTAAAGAAGGCAACCCTGAATTCAATGCACATGCATGAACAAACTGCCAATGAAAATTTTACTGCCTCATACTATTGTATTTAAACAAACATAAGATTATCCTCCCATTTTAGAAAATAAATTATTTAGGGAAAAATCTAGTGTTGTTTTGAGAGACTACAGTAATAAGTTTTTATAAGAGTAGAGGACTTTCTAAATCGTCTGCTTCCATCTGCTGGATGTACTAAATATTGCATGGTAAATTTAACTCAACAAAAGCTCTAAGGCCATGATGCCGAACCTATGGCACTTGTGCTGGAAGTGGCACACAGAGCCATCTCTCCAGGCATGTAGACCCGTCGCCCGTTGCTCTTCCGGGTTCTGGTGTGATGGCCAGCTGGTCTTCATGTGTGCAGGAGCACCAGAAATTGAAAGAACAGTTGCCTGGGGCATATGCACATGCTGGGAAGATGATCTTCCGATTTCTGGTGTGTGCATGTGCACTTGCCACCTGGTGTTCTGGTTTCTGGCATGCATACCCACACAAAGACCAGCTGGCCAATGCACATGTGGGGGCTGGAACCTGCAAGGGGAACAAGAGCAAGGGGAGCAGAGTTGCCAGCCAGGACAGACGGGACGTGGCTTCCCTCCCTCCCCACCCGAACGGGCTTCTTGTTTGGCTCCAGCCCTCCAGTCCACTGCACTGCCACACATCCACAGTCCAGAGTTCCTGGCCAGCTTGGGCGCATGGGGCAGCATGGTAGGGTTTGCTGGCTGGGTGGCCGGCTGCCTCGCCTGCTACTCCTGCCACTGCAAGGGGGTGGCGGTGGTTCTTGCACTGCCACTTCTGGCCGGGATGCTGGAGCAGGAAAACGAGGAGGAGCACCATCAGGGCGACAAGCGCAGCATGGAGACTCCGTCAAGGGGTAAGAGGATGCTGGTCGGGAAGTGACCGAGATGCTGCAGTGGCTTGTTCTCAGCTGCAGGCTGAGGGGGGCACTTTATCCTGGCCAGAGTTGGGGCAAAGCTCTCCTTTGCTGGGCCCCTACCTGAGCCCCGAGAATACCAATGCTCCTTACCTCTATGGCTGGGAAGGAGCTCCGGCTTTCCAGTGGAGGGAGGCAACATTCCCTGCCCAACTTTCTCTCCCTATCCAGGGCTGAGGAATCAGGTCATCGGTGGGGATGTCCTGCCACCCTCACTGGGGCAGGGGGCATGCAGAGAAGCACAAGGACCCCCAAAATGCCAGGTGGAGCCGGTGCATGCGTACTGGACAGCTGGTCTTCATGCATGCATGCGCGCAAGAAACCAGAAGAGCAGGTGGCCGGCACCCATGCATGCACCGGAAACTGGAAGAGCATCTGCTTTTGCAGTTTCCAGTGTCGTGCAACGCTCACTCCTGTTTCAGCACTCGGTGCCGAAAAGGTTAGCCGTCACTGCTCTAAGGCAACCTGTCTCTGTGTGCACAGTCCACTCAATTTCAATGAATAAGAAATTCAACATGTTATTTAATACACTTACACTTTGCGTGTATACCCTTCAGTTTTGAATTAGTAGCATCAAGCTCCTTTTAATTAGGCAATATTAATTAGGAATAATAGCTCTCTCAGTGTATAAATAATTTGTGGCAAAAGTAGTTATAAAGTTTGATTGATTGATATTTATAAATTATGTAAATTTTATATAAATTTAAAAATTAATTCTGTGTCTCAGTTAAATTTATTAATCCAACTTTAAAATACTTCATAATAAATGATCATCTACATTAAAAATGAATATATTTTTCTTTGTTTTCTTACAGGTTCTGGGAACTCCAAATGAAGAATCATGGCCTGGAGTTGACACTCTACCACATTTCAAGCCAGGTTGGTTTTGCATGCTATTAAAGTTATATATTTCACTGTGAAAAGATATTGGCTATATGAACAGAAGTACCATTTCAAGGTTTAGTACGTTAGTAGAAAAAAGTTATTGCAAACTGCAGATTATTATTTCTAATAAACTTAAAGTTAAATTATATAAACATTTAATTTCGTATTTGATCTGAGAATCTTTTCTTTATCAGGAATCATTCTTTGCTTAAAATTTCTGTATGCTTTTATTATGTATGTTCTTGGTAGGAAACATTAGGAAGGTGCTTGAATGAACAGTCTGTGTGCCTTCCCATAGATATTCTATACATTAACTTTAGCTAGGGAGAACATGGCTTTTGTGCCATCTATTTACTTCTTTCCCTCTGAATTTCTCTCTTTCTCCTCCTCCCGCTCCCCACCTCCAATTTTTATACACTATTAGTCTAGAAACATCTCAATTCCTATATTATCTCTTCAAGACACTTAGTCCTGGGAGACTTTTAATGGTATTTGGAAACATCACACTGCTTTTTGTATCCCATTTTGGGATTTTGGCATCTCTTTTATCAAGAAACCAAAATGCAATTTTATACTTTAGTAGGAATTGTAATGGGAATTGAAGCATCTCAGCTCAATGTTTAGAGGTGTAAAAGAAGAATGTACTTAACCAATAAATCAATATGCTGTTGTTCCTAAAGAAAATAATTACATAATGTATTTTCTGAAATAGTTTATTGATTATGGATCCATTAATCTCTGAAATTGATATCCAAATTTTTCAAAATCAACTATTGTTATGTTGTTTTTTTATCTATTTTGTTGAATACCAGTATTGCTTCAACATAATCAGGGTGTACAAAATGGGAATGTTGTATGAAAAGCATAGAGCATACTAAGCCAGAGAAAATTCGTAATAGTAATAACACTTAGACTGATATACTGCTCCATACACCAGGGTTCCAGTTGCCTGCATTCTAACCCTGCCACCAGGTTTCAAAATTATTATTTGTGCTGTTATCCATATTGATAATATTTGTTGATGTAATACTTTTCTTCTTTTCAACAGTGTTATCTTAACTTTTAGGGACAAAGTACACTAAATATTAACTAGTTTTAAAAAAGTCTTCTAGATAAGCAAAAAAAATATTCCAAACAAAACTTGCAATGTTTAGTTATTTCTTTCATTCTATAGAAATTAACTATTTTACAATAGTTTCCCAAAATGACTTTTAAAATGATATAAATCTGAGTTTATAGGATTTTGCTTCTATTCCCTTAAAGTATTAAATTACTAAGAACATTAAAAGGACTGCCTTTAAAAAAATAAAATTATAATTGAAAAAATACGAAATCCATTTGTAAAGAAATTTTGTAGCTTTCTAAGACTGCTGTTTAGTTTTATAAGGAAGTGTGATGGTATTTCTAAATGAATGTATATGTTCTTTTGCTTTCATGTTTCATCTTGATTTAAGAAGAGAAAAGTGTTTTGACGCTAGGTGGCAGTCAGGAAACAATTCTGATCTGTTATTGTTCAATGGTGCTAAACCACCTAATGTTTCTCTGTATGCATATAATTTTGTTTTGTTGAAGAGCTTTAAAAGTAAAATGAAAATGAAATGTCAACTTTTTGAAATAATTGTATAATTCAAAATGTTAATACTTTGTCTGTTATCACTTGAACTTAGCTTTGAAACAGTGATATTTGCAAATGGAGAGTTTAATGAAAAGTAAAGTTAAAAAGATAAAAGGCTCCCTGTGGATTTACTCCACAACTGGTAGCCAACTATAATGGATGGTGCTCATCTCCGTTTCATGGCCTTTGAGCTAGCAATCTTTCCAGCTGACAAGCCCAGCGTCTTAACCACTGAGCCACAAAATAGTAAAGTTACTATTATTTTATTTAAGTAATACTATCTGTCTGTAATAATAAATATTATGATTAGTAAAAATTCCTATTTATATGTTCCATGTTTTCTCAAAACTACCCAATTCCTTGGAATTTCTTTGACAGGCCGAACCCTATTATATAGGTGATTCCAGTTCTCTACCTTCTGTTTCTACTCTTCTTCTTATAGCTGCTGTTTTTAATGTGCCACCCTCAGTGGAAAACATCAATGCTTGGTCCTAAAATCCTTTCAGTGAGACTACCAGAGCAACTGCTACTACTTTTAGAGCCTAAGTTGCCTTGTTCAGCAGTGTTAAGGTGACCAATCGTCCTCCTTTAGAGAGAACAGTCCTTCTTTTATAAGTTCTGTCCTCTCTTGAAAAGTGTCCTCCTACATGTCCTCCTTTTTGATATTTGAAGACTAATCTGTAAATCTCCGTATTCGATCGATGTCGATCCAATCCATTGCATGTGATGTGACGTATTTGTATTTGACATGATGATTCGTCAAGGCTCGGTACAGTGCGGCGAGATGCGATTATGAGATGCATGCACTCCGCACAGGAGAATTGTTTTGAGAGAGTGCACCGCGCGCAAGAGGCTTTGTTTACTTCTTACCAAAACACGACATGGCACACACGCACATTTTTCTTCAATTTATTTGTGTCTTCCTTCTCATTGTAAAAAAGTTGGTCACCTTAGCCGTGTGCATATATTATAACATTGGCTTTAATAGTAAGCATAATAAAGGAAAATGTTTGATATAAAATTTATTTTTTGTTACAGATCGCTTTACACAGTACAGTGCTAAAAATCTTAGACAAGCCTGGAATAAGTAAGTCTTTCAATTAAACCATTCTAGCCATATTGTTGATTTCTTGCTAATTAATTAGGAAGTTCTTCTAATTTTACAACATTGTGTTTATTTTTAATGCTGAATACTGTCCCAAATTCAAATATTTAGCCTATCAAGTTTCTTAACCAGTGGTTAACAACTGATAAAAAAACAGTAGCTTGACATTTATAACCTCCTAAAGATAACTTTTTCACATCTGAGTTTTGCTTTAACTAAAAGTACAATGCATGCATTTACTGGGATTAGTTTACTTCCACTGAGTTGCTATTTTTTTCAAGGAACAAATAAATGGTACTTCTATACAGTACTGTTTCCAGTCCCTAATCTCTTCAGAGCAGTTTGAGATACTACTACTGTTTCCCTGCTTCTGAGAATTCAGCAGATCAGCGTCATGAGCACCTGTAAAAAACATCCTTCAGTTGGTCATTTATCCAAGTTGTTATCAGTTCTGGAGCCACCTAAAACGGATGTCAAACTCACGTCATCACATCGGTGTCACGTGATGTATCACAGCTTTTCCCTCCTTCGCTAAACTGGGCGTGGGCGTGACCAGTGTGTGATGCAGGCCGTGAGCTTGACAGCCCTGACATAAAAGAATACATAATATTCCGTTCTATGTTGTTAATAAACAACAAACCCACAAACTCTGCAGAGCTTCCTTATTACAGAAAGAATTGGGTTGCCCAGTACCTGTCCTGGAAATAAATTTGCTCAGCTTCCAAATTAAGCAATGTTATTGGGTAACTGAAATCTAGGACTGCTTTGGAAGTGCCATAGAAACTGTTAAAATGGTGATTGTTAAAGACAACATTTCTAAAAATCAGATATTATCACAACAAGCATCAAAATATTATTAGAAATCGTCTAACAATTTCTTCTGTGATGTGCTGATCACAGCATGAAAACTACCTTAACCAGTGATAGAAAAATGTAAAATATTTTTCATTTTTATATAAGTGTTTATGAAATGTAAGGCAATGTATAATTGTATGTGTCTGTCCATTGCTAATTCTGCTTCTAGTAAGTGATCAATATTATTTCTCCCAAATTTGGCATGATTGAGCCAGCTGATACTCCCATAATATATTGTACGTGAGAGAAAATACTTCAGGAGAGAGAAAAAAAGAATTATTAAGAATATAAAACTCTATTGAATTAAACTGAAGGATTCCCTAGTCTATCAGAAAGATTACCATTGGATGCTAATGAGAAACTCTACAGAAACAGCATGTACTATACCAGTGATGGTTAACCTTTTCGGCACCGAGTGATGAAACCGGAATATGTGTGCGCGCATGCACGTGCACCAGAGCACCGGAACCCAGAAGAGAGCAGATGGCCAGTGCGTGACGGCCAGCCGCGCTTCTGGGTTTTGGCGTGCGCATGCACACTGGACAGCTGATCCGGTGCACACGTGCACCGGCCAGCTGTTATCTTCCGGGTTCTGGTGCTCTGTGTGGAGACCAGATGGCCAGCACGCATGCGTGTGACGGAATCCGGAAGACAGCAACTGGCTGGTGCATATGCATTTGTCGGAACCCAGAAGAACAGGTGGCGATGACACACGTGCCCACAGAGAGGATTCTGTGTGCCACCTCCAGCATGTGTGCCATAAGTTCGCCATCATGGTGCTATATCATCCTCTCACTGATTCTTGTATCATTGATACTAATATACATACAGTATATAATGTCTCTGGTGTGTGTGTGTGTGTGTGTGTGTGTGTGTGTGTGTGTGTATTGATATTCTTAGCCTCACTGAATTTCTCTTATCCCTTTGTAAAATTATCCAGTTTGGTGGATATCATCACAAAACTACTATTGTGAAACACTCCAGTTTATCTATGAAATGTTAGCTGCCTTCAAAATAAAGGAAGATGAATACAATGCTTCATTACACACTTTTGGTGTTGAGTGATAAAGATTTTTATAATCCACACATCTGAAATTTCTAAATGTGTTAGATATTTTTTGCTATCTTAGAATTGGTTGAATTATATACAAACCAAATATTCTCATTTATCGTGTTAGATAACCTTAAAAGAAAGAATATGCATAGTTACACTGAATGGCATCCTAATAATTTCCTAAAAATGTGAAGGAAATTAATACCTTTCAGATGATAAATAATTATAAAAATTTCCACATTTACATTATATTTTTATTGAATATTGAATAAATTGAATATGTAGAGAGACACCTAAGAAAATTATATTATTATTTTTTTAATATGCTGATCTGTACTGGGCTTTTTGTTGGTTTTATATAAAATAAATGTAGCTTTTTATATCCCAAATTATTGCAATTACTAACTTGGAGATGCACCATAACCTTGAATCAATGGTGAAATCTGAACAGGTTTGCCACCGGTGCAAACTCACTGTGCACATACACAATACGCGCCAAAAGGAGGCTTGGGAAGGTAAGTAGAGCAGCGAGTGGGGGGGATCAGCTGTGCCGCGTGATTTAGATTCACTAGAAAGCAGGATTTCCTTTTAAATTGCACGGCACATCTGATCGCCTGAACCAGTGCAAACCGGTAGCATTTCACCACTGCCTTGAATGTCTTGGCCCATTTTATGTTTATATGATGTTTTTTTTCTATAATGAAAAAACTTTCTGCTAATTATACTGTTGCTATACTTTTCTTTGTAACACAAAGTTGACTTTAGAAACTATTTTGATATTGAGCTAGTAAACTGTTCGTTAGCAGTTCTAACTGATTTGGGAAAAAAAGATGTACACGTTAATTCTGAAGCTATCTGCCTCATGAATTTCAAGAATACTATGTAATGTGTCTGTATAGATACGTGTATCTGCAGTGTGTTTGCTTTGTAGGTTTTACCTGTTAAAACTAGTCATTAATTATCAAAAATATAGATACTTTCTAATTATGGATTTAACACTATTTGCCATAACTCTGCTGAGGGTTTTACTGATTAGTAACAATGGCTTACTTTTTCACCAGCTCAAAGTTGGACTATTACTATACCTGCTCTCCTTTTGAAGCTATCTTTGGTTCAAAATGAGGGAGTTGCCACAATCTTGTGACGCTGATTGCATAGTCATTCCATACTATAGGCTACAACTAAAAATTTAGTACATTTCAAAGTGCTTATTTTAACCTAAAAATCTTAAATGGCTTGGGTTCTAGATACGTTCATTCTCTAGCCAATGGAATATACCCATCCTATATATTTAATCAAATGGAAAATGCTTTGGGTTTCATTCTCTTTTAAGATTTTGAAGTTAGATTCAGAAAAAGAATTTCTTAGTAGCTATCCTATTGCTTAAAATGCTCTTTCCTCGAAAATACAGATGGCTGCTATTTTTTATATTTTATAAAAGAAGACAGTTAAATTTGATTTGTAAGGCCTTCAAGATTTAATGGTTGGCTCACGTGTCATCATTTGGAAGGGTATAGTTTTGGTTTTATTTTGCTTAGGATTGCTTCGTTATATTATTTTTTATGAATATACACTACTGGGAATTTTGCAAAGATAACAGATACAGATCACGTGAATAAATAGGATAGACATTAACAGCTTTTGTGGTGTCAACAGTTTTGGAAATTTGATTTTGCAAGCAAAAACCTACAACGCACCATAAATAACTTTGATCTTTGAGTGTGGGCCTTGATTATACTCATAATCGAGGCCTTACAATCAAAGACCAGTACAATTAAAAATACTCAAAGAGTATCTAATAAAGATTGTAGAATAAAATAATTCTAAGCAAATAACAATAAAATCTGTGTTAAAATCATAATCTGCACCTATTTATCAATTGCACTTAAACAAGAGCACGGCCTAAGCTATAATGTAATATTAATCCTTAAATTGTAAAAGCCTATAGTTATTAAGCATTAAAATATAACAGGGTAATAATATTAAAAGATTTGATGCATTAATTGTATAAAATGGTTATAATGGATTATTCATTAAGTTCCGGAAATCTTTAGTGCTGCTATGAAGAATCTTAACTATCTGTGCTATGTGACTTCTTAAGCAACCATTGAACATAAATGGTATCTGAACAACAAGAATACATAGTAATTATTGGGAAAATAAAAATTGTTTGAATGTCTTTATAAAAAAGAGCAGCGAAGGATTTATCCAGAGGTTTCTATCTCGCCAGAATCATAGGGACAGACTCTTTCAGTCAATGGTATCCCTTTATATTTGCCGTCCAAACCTAAAAAAAAATATTTCTCATCAAGTATTAGGAACACAAGAGTATGTAAACCTATGAATTTAAAAAAAAAAAATCTCTGTTGTTCAGGAATCTATTGAAAATCACCAGAATGTATTTCCTGAATAGGAAGGATGAAACAGTTATGTATAAACTCCTTTAATATATACATAGTTAATTCTAATTACTCACATCTTCAATTACTTTCCTTCAATTTTTTGAAGTATAGCATATCAAATATTAAATTATTATCTCACAATCACTTATATAAGTCTTTGTGCTTTCTATTAAAATAAATTATATCAAAGTTAAAATAATACTTTGGACACTTGGGGGAGCACATGTGTTAGCTGAGCAACAGTTAACAAAATCTCAATTGAAATCATTAACGATATTGCTATTTTCATTTCAGTAATAAAAAACAGCCATCTCAGATACATATAATTATTTTCATTTAATTATTATATAATATATACCATATCTGAAGCTAAATCCAGAGTTTTACCTTCTAAGGATCAGGAACCACATTGCAACTTTCAATTTCTACCTCCAATTTAGAAGTTCTCCTGGGAGGTATGGAATTGATTTCATAAATTTTCTTTCCTCTTTATTGATTTAATTGATCTAATTATGTTTTAAATTATTTTAATTTTCATATTCTTTGTATTTTAATCTTGGCTGTTCACTGCCCCGAGTCCTTCGGGAGAAGGGCGGTATAAAAATTTAATAAATAATAATAATAATAATCTTCTATATATATATATAAAAGCGAAATACCACTCACGCATC